CTTAGAGCCACTTTAAGATTAGTCACAAATGACTTCACTTGGAGAATCACTAGAAATTAATCAACTGCTCTCTAAGGACCATCTGCAGGATGAGGAATGCCTGAAGTTTGGTTGGTTCTAGCCATGGTCAGTGTGATTTACCAGGTCGGATGTGAGAACAAATAATCAGTGATGACATTGGCTGGCGGTGGCGTTATATATCGTCAACAGGATGAAATTAGAACTGACGAATTATTGGATTTCTAGTGAGGGAATGAACACCTCCCAGCATGGCTAAGTAAAGGTGTAGTGAAAACTATTAACAACTCGATATTGGAACATCTGATGCAAACAGGCCACAAAGCCAGAGTAGATGAATCCTTCTCTATATTATACCGGGTGCCAAATAAATTACCAAAAACATCGAAGCACCGCAGGCTCCAAACAGCAGAGGCTATTGCGATTCGTCTCAAACAACCAATGCTCTATATCCAAAAGAAGCAAGTCCAGCCCCTACTATTGCCATGGCCTTCAGTAGAAACTATAAACTCATGAATTTGTACTATTATCTTTCCTAATTCTTCTGACATTCAGCTTATTTTGTGTTTATGCGATTCAGCTGTAATCTATCAATATTATTGATTTGATGTTATTTAAACATTAATGTCGTTCATAACACTAATTCATTCATTCACTATAATGTATGTATAAATATAGAGCCTGATGATGAATTTATCGAAAAAAGTAGTCTGTGTTCAGTATCAATTCTTTTGAAGATTAAAGAAATAGCAATGTAACCTGAATTTCCTCATTTCTATCCCTGATGAGAAGGTTAATGGACGCATACAGAAGAAGTGCCCATAAAATAGGAAGAAACGACTGTTCAGTACTTCCTGGTTCTCATTGGTTCTCCAACTAAAATCATTTGGCAATCGATTGTGATCAATTCCCTGCAAATCAAAACTTGATGTTTGAAATCCCTAGTTTGACAGAACTTAGAGTACTTGTTTCGATCAGTTTAAGACTTATCGGGTGTATGTGCCTTCACATGACATGACTCAGTAGCCTGTTAGATTATTCGAAAACGTATCACTGTTCATCCCTGTATATTAAATAAGACAATCAGTAGTACTATTATCTTGATTAAGTAGACAGTTACTATGCCAAGTCATTTTTCACCAATCATGTGATTGTTTCTGTTTTGTCCTGTTTTGAAGGGAAGTTGCCAAAATAAAGTTTGTTGAAGCTGCTATCCGTCCACTTCTCCTTTTTTCCTTACAAGTAAACGAAACAATGCTCATGTTTAATTCTTACAAATTTCATTTTACAAATGCAAATTATTTACGTTTTGAATAATCATTTTCTCCTGATCAATGAAATGCAAAAACACTAAGTTTCATTGAGATAAAAAGAACTCAGGCGTCTTGTGGTATAATATCAATCCATCACAGAATAATTATATATATTATAAATTATATTTGATAAAAGTTGCACAGAGTGATACAATATTAATGTGTTTGGTGTTAACTAGAACAGGTGGGACCCAGGATACTCATTTCGTTATGCTTGAGGTTCTTCAGCTTGATGTGCCTGTATCCCATAAATAGAAATGGAACTCCTGTTGACAGTCGAATTCTACAACAATAGTTTAAACGCCAGAGCAATCATTATTTACTGACCAATGAAAAAAGAACCCCTGATGCAATTTCGATAACTGGATGAGCTTGCAAGCAAAATTTATTGCTAAGCACCTATAATGGACAGTAAGATAAATGTCTGCATTTTAACATTCCTATCTCCTATCCTTAACAAAGTATTATCAGATTTAACTGTTCAGAGGAACAAATGCCAAGAATAGATGCTCCTTTCAGATGATATCTGTAGAGGAATGAATAGCGTGAAACATTCACTATCGGGGAGAGGAGTTATATATACCCACTTTGTAGCTCCAGTTTATATTTCTGATGAGGAAAACTTCCAAAAACCTAAATTCCAAAATCACCAATTCATTCATGCAGTAATATGATAGTAAACGATACTAATGTTTATGATGAGTTACCATCTGAGCTTCTATACTTGATCAAAACCTTAAAGCTTCATAGCAAAAAATAGTTATTATCGCTACAACTGCTTAGCAGAATCAACTCTAGTACGTCTTCAATGTTCTCAAGTTCCTTAAAGCCACTGAAACTACAACACCACTACCAAACAAGTAAATCAAGCACCAGACGGAACTTAGTTTACACAAAAAGGTTAACAAAACAAAGTGAATAAGCATATTAGCAGTGCATATCAGCCAAACCAACCATAGAAAAAATACATACCTTTGAATGACTCATTATAATCTCTAAATTGATAGCGAAAATGGTTGATATGGCAAAAAATAAAAAAAGGCGAACACAGGAAATAATAATGACGAATTTGTGAGGAACAGACTAACCTAATATTAGATCACTCCACAAACCAACGCCAATTATCAAACCAATGAAAACCGCACAGTGATGAATGATGATGATGCTGGTTGCTAGGTATCTTTATTACATCCATCTTTACTATGTTCACTTAGAGTCGTGTCTTAGCTGCTTCTTAAGCCAATTTGTTGGTTTTCGCCTGTAGAATTTAGAAATTTCGTGACATCAGGCATAACATGTCTAGGAGGTCCAGATCTCCTAGAGTCTTCTTGTCAGCCCAAGGTATTCCTGTTTTTTTCGCCTCAAACTATCTACCGCATAATTCAGTGCACTACAGTCATGAATTTCACTGGTGATAATAGGCAGTTTTGTCTTAGTGCTATGTTCATTTCAAAGGCATCTCTGATCCTTCTTTTGTGAATCCCTTTTCATGTGAGTTCATCAGATAGCTAATGAATGAGGATGACCAACTCTTGAGGCACTTCGTAGTAGTGGAGCAGTTTCTAATCAATTAGCGGTCAACATTGTTCATAGTCGCTGAGGGTGGGGTCGAGATTCGACTGCTATTCTATGCTCCACTGGATGATGGCATATACCATCGTACTTTGATCCGTTCATGACCTACTTTTTCTAGATCTGTCTTGTGGTGGCTGGAGTTTTGCACCTACGGTATCTGTTTTTTTGTCTCTCCAGGTTTCTGTTGCTTAATATTTTGCTTGGTGTGGACAGGGGCGTAATTCTGCTCCATTCCTTGCAGGGGAATACGCCAGCCCTTTGAAATGCAGAGTCTTCTAAATATTTTAAACATAAATATCCGAATGTTTGACAGACGATTTGATCATGTTAAGTGTAAGGTGATGCTCTGGGAGTGAAATACATTAATTTCTAGTGTTAATTAAGGGAATCAAATTTTAGGGCGTGTTACTTTTTCGCTTCTCAGGGAAGTAGCATCAGACCAAATAGGCTGATGTCTAATGCAATCTCAGCACATATTGAAAAGTTTTGTGGGCATTTGTCAGCTTATACAATTTTGGCTTAGTAGGTGTGATGTCCGGCTGTCGACCAAAGTACGTGTTTGCTGCACAGCAACAGTTAGCCTCGTCCTTTTTTGTGACTGTTGGATGTAGCCATTGAAATTGGAAGACATTGAATTAATGGCTGTTTTTGATCATGATGTGTAGATTTGAGGTTAGAATTCGGATGTTAGGTAGGGAGATAAAGTCCACTGATAAGGTTATGAGACTTCATCCACCAAAGTGGCTACGGCATGTGTTACGGATGCGTAGGCATAGACTACCTTGACGATCAATGTTAGCTAACATAAGATCAGGTTGGAAAAAGCCAGGTGTGCCCTAACCAAAATATGGCGTTAATCTGAGACATTCAGAGAGGTTTAGTCCACCTGTTTGGGTTTCTTAGGATTCTTATAACCATTGACTGGAAGCAACAGATGATATGGCTCAAAATCGTTCTCAGTGGTGTAGATGCATCCACTGTTTATCATCTACCATGTCAATTAAACCCTGTTTACTTTCTCGCTCACATGTCTGTTTATCATCATTCTTTTGAGTCTTATTTTTTCCTCTTATTTGTCTTCCTCTGAATGCTACATGGAGTGAAGTAACTCGAACTTCAGAACTTCTGTAAAACGTCCTGTGTTGAAACTTATCAGTGAGCCATTATAATCTAAATGTTGGTTTGCTGGGATCTGATTTTTTTCTGGATTTCATCATTAACTGACACAGGTTAGAGAACCACCTGAAGACTTGGGAGAACTAGACGGCTGTTTCGTCCTAGTTCGGGACTCTCCACAGCAAATTTTGAAGAATATTAGAACTTATAATGCATCAGAATTCACTTTTATTTAGATTAATACACCCACCCTTTTAACCACTTGTTGTACACTTGAATGTTAGATCGCTTTTCTTTCAAGTAGGTAGAGAGATATGCAAAAGATGCTGTGGAAAAATTACATATGCAATAATTCTAAGGCTATTCGCCAAATATGGCCAAAACATATCATATACAATGTATTACAGTGAAGATATACTTTACAAAAGTGAAATGCAAACGAATATAAGTGAAACCACGACGCCCAAAACAACGACAACGATAACGACGAGAGAGAGAGAAGAAGGAAAAAGAAGAGATGACAATCTATGAAATGTCAGCCTCCTACATTACATCAGTTGATTCAGTTGGCTCTTCATTATTCTATTTTTATGGAGAGTACTGAAAGTCTGATATTGGGTCTTGTGGGTGTTTTTTTTATTTTAAGGATTGACAAAATTCATTAAGTCATATTGATGTACACTTGTTGATAGAAAAATGTTTACTGCAAGTAAAAATTGGCGCACTATATGGGCATACACTTTTTTCCATGACTTACTGACAAGATAATATTAGATCTATCATATTCTTCACTCATTGAGTTGTTTTCATTATACTGTTCTGAGGGTAATAAAAATTTGTTTAACAATTTTAGGCAGATAGAGTGAGAGAAGGTCAAAAAGTTAAATTTAACAGAACAAAAAGAAAAGGCATATAAAACAGAACTGTGACGCTTTGTTTTGTTCTAAACTCTTCTCTTCTGTTCTTATATTTCCTAGTTTAAAAATCTTTAAACTCATTTTCACAATAATTTGTATTGGATATTTTCAAGGGTTCTTCTTCATAATCATCAAAATTACTTGAATCACCAGGTCCTTTACTTGGCGGTAGGAATGGAGCATTTAGCTATAAAATAGGGTTAAAAAAAGCATTTCGACAGATCACAATAAAAGAAATAATATGAGAAAATAAGTATTAAAAATGCTTTCAGCTATTGTCACATACTGAGTGAGTGAGCTAGGTTTTACGTGTATCATGTATCAATAGACATATATTAAATTAGTAGAAATTCACATGATGTATAGTACCGAATAACCTGAGTGTTTGGGAATGTATGGTTGACATCAACACACACATCAATCAGAGGTGACAATTAGCTCATTCGAGCTGATGTAAAAATGAGAGGACAGTTTGGTCGTTTGCAGTCTAACTGTTCTGTATTTTAATTTAAACTGTGTATTTTTCAAATGACTGATTTCATTCTGAGCACCTACATTTGAGATGGTTTCAATGTATTCGAATCTTTGAACTGACTTAAGAGTAACTGATGAGGAGTCCCGAGCTAGGACGAAACAGCTGACCAGTGCTACCATGTTTTTCATTGATTCTCTATTCAATGTCAGCTCATGATGAAATCCAGTAACTAATCCAATCATAGATGTTGGCAAGCTCAAAATCGAGCGTCTAGATTGCCATAATCTGGTTAGCGAGCAATGGTTTTCAACGCCTAATGTTAATCATTAGGAAATTCAGTGTAACAGGCAGTTTTACTTTCCTGATACTATTTGTGAAGTCTTCAAGCTACAAATAGTATGCAAAATACTACTGAATGATTGAGATGAGTAGTTGTATACCACTCATATCAACCAGTAGTGCTTGCTAGCTAGATCAAAGTGATCTAATTACCGGACGGGTGCTTTGAACGTTTGGGGGCGATCTCATCAGCGTTTTACCCGATTTAGCTTAGCTCTGTGGGTTGAATCAGTTCCAACCACCCGATTTCATGTCAGTTGTACTCAGGTAGGTACTCATCTAAAACAATCAGTAGTAAATAGCATTGTGCAGTTATACTTGCTTTCTGCATCAGCATTGATGGTATCAAACAGACCTGCATAATCTCAGTTTACAAAGGAAACTATGATGGAATCATCACGTTGAATAGTGTAAACTGCTCATTTATTTGCGAAACTGACAACTTATTTTCAAATTTTGAATTTTTCTTGGCACTACGCTGAGGAAATTGAAGATTTTTTAAGTAATCTGTCTTTTACACTGAGTATATGATGTATTACTCATTACATTTTATGTCGTCATTTATTACGAACCACAGTAAGATAATATATTAAATAAATATTATGATCTCCTCAGTATGTGGCTGTATGTTTCAGCTATTTAATTCATTCTGATATATAAGCTCACGATTCGTCATTGAACACTCGGTTTGTGTACTCCTAACAACTTCTAGGCATCTGACAACAGTACTTTAGATTTACGTTATGACTCAAATAACTGTATCATTTCCAATTATTCTCAGGATTTAATTAACATAAATCCATGACGCATTCCATTACATTCAAACTGTCAGATATTTTGTATTGCATAACACAGATAAAAGTAATAGACTAAGAATAGAGAGAACTTTGCGGATCGAGGTATAAGATAGAAAGAAGGAGAAGTTCTGTTTGTATTCGCTTACAAGAAGTCATCCCTATTCTGGTTAGTAGTCTTGACCCAACTTGAAATCATATAAATCCCTATGAATTAAAACTTGGAAATTAATGCAGTTCTCATTAGTAACTGTCTGAAGGATGGACTTCCTGGAGTTCTAGTGATATGTCATGACTAGTGGATTCCACCAAGTCAGGTGTGATGACAGATACTCACTGATAAGATTGGTTGACGGTGTTGCTGTGTATTCGGAATGGACAGAATTAAGAATTCAAGGGTCATAATAGCCGCCTCGTAATCTGAAAGTCCAGGGTTTGAACCAGGATGACGTGGCTGAAGTTTGCTGCTGGAGTTTCCGAAATAAGGATAGAACAGCTCTCTAGTATTCCATGGTCTGCAGTAGTTTATGTCAGTTCATGGCTTAACTCGAAACTAGTGTGTTTATTTTCCATGTTATCGTTTCACAGAGAATTCAACAGTAGTATGATGACTGCACACGAGGATATGAATAATTTCTTTCACAATTTATGTGTTGTTGATTATGAAATTCACGTTAACATAAGGAGAGTTAAATGTTCAATGAAGCTAAAACTAAACCTATGTTATTTACCACTAAAAATTTTGAAAGAAAATACTTCTGCAAAACACTTCTTGACAACTACTTTTCTGAAAGATAGTAACAAGGAGCGGCTAGAACTACTAATCAGTATTTTAAACCTATGGCTTCAGAATTCATCTTATGGATAGAGTGACTGATTATGAAATTTTATCAATTTTTAACCATTTTTTCGGTCAAATGATTAGATTTTATTTATTTCTTAAATTCAAGAGGTTTTGTAAATTGTATATGCCATGTATTTTGTTTAATAAATGATCGTTGTAACAGTCCTGTGTGTCGTCATCTTTGTTGTCGTTGTTGTTAGTCGTCTGTCAGTATCTCAACAGTCACAGGCCAGTCTTCGTCTTTTGGTGTTTACGTGGTTCGGCGGAATGGAAGGTACTAACAAAAAATAACCGTATCTAGCATACCACTTGAATTGTCCGTTGCAATCAGTGTTATTATACTCACTTTTAAGTCCGTTCGGTCATATCACATGTCAACCAGATCATTTAGATTGAAAACAGGTTGATATGATATAGCAACAAATTCTTTTTGGTAGGTACTAAAGTTCTCCGATAAAATTACTTGGCAAATAAAACTGAAGCTCATCATGGAATTCCGTACCGTATAAATTCACTAGATACTACAAACAGTGGTACAGTAATAATAACTGGTTGATGTTTGCAGTACAATTTACCACTCATAATCATATCACTGTATCCACAAAACGTCTAACTAGGTTTACATAGTTGGTTTCTCTCTCTTATTTTAGTGTTGCGTCATTTCTATTGCATGTGTTCAGTTTGCAGCTAATGAACAAAGATTCCATGATTCACCTCCTCTATTATCCTTGATTAATTTTACCCGCTCCCACTCTATTGTGTGTCCTCATGCAAGTTCATGTATAACAATGGCAGAGCCTTTATGAGATTAGTCTTTCTAGATTTAACTAAATTCCAATGTTCCGATAAGTTAACTCATCCAGATCTCCTAGTTTAACCCATGCACTTGACCTTATAGTCTGTGTGTGGTACTTGATACATCGTACTATTTTGTGTATTTAGCTTCATTGGATCTTTATGTAAGATAAAATAATATAATTTGCCAAATACCACGTGAGGTCACTTACGTAGATCAAACTAGTATATCGGTGTCCTTCAGGTTATAATTACATTTAGAAAGGAAATTGTGAGAATATTTTAACTAGAAATCAATAATTAATGAAACAGTAGTTTACCTCTTTTCGATAAGTTGTAACCCAATTAGTTTGTTGAAACCATTTATGACGTTTGATATCATCAACACCATTTTTTAAATTACCATAACGTTTTGTTAAATCAGTTTGTAAGAGTTGCTTGAGAAGATTGCGTAGATCAGGACTGACATGTCCAGGGAATCGAACCTTATAAAAGTAAAAAAAAATTATCGGATTTTGAAAATAAGGTGAAGCTGAAAGCAAAAAACATAATCATTAGCTAATACAGTTTTTCTTCTGAATAATCAGATTTATTCATCAGTATGTGATGTTGATAGTTCAACGCAGGAGGGCTCACTGGTAGTGTAGAAGGTCCGGATTCAAACCCTGGCCGATACACTTCTAATTCCTGCATAGTTCACTAGCCGGTAATAACACAATAAAAGAGGGAAGGTTGAGCTAACATCCACACCTGGTAAAAACCACACCGCTGATACTGAAACTTGACAGTTTGAAACCCTATGTTCTACTCAGAACACAAGGAATGAAACATAAAAAATGACCTAGGTATATTGCCTGTGATAAAGACCTATTTGACCCCTGTAGTATTTGACAGTAAATTTATAAATATGCTAGTTTAATTATGCGATACCTAGATCGTAATAAGAACAGCAAAGTATTACACTATTATGACTCCAATGGTGATTTATCACATTAACATCAGATTATCTCATGAGTATAAAATCTAAGTATGAGAATATTACCTTTTAAACTATCTAAGTATTTAGAAGATGATTTATCCGCCAGGTTGCAGTAACCGTTCTGCTCTCTGAAAATCATTATTTTCTCACACGAAAGAATTGGTACTGCATGTGTGTACTGTCAGAGTCATCTGAAGCAGTGATCTAGTGAGTAGCGCTTTTGTGTTTCCAGTGATAGGTGCTGCATTCGATTATGAAATGGGATGTAATCCATCAGAACGCAGGTTTATCAAGCTGAACAAGAATTCTACTGCCAGTCATTAGCAAACAAGTACTACCTAGTATAATTAACGATTGTGTATTGAGGCGTAAACTACAAAACAAATGCTTAAATCACTAATTATTAATTGTTAATTAATGAAATTATTAAAACATTCATGTGAGTCACCCTCAATCTTTGATTTTAATCAGCATAATTTATCAGTAGATGCTAATTTTGTCTCAAAATCGTGTGCCTGTATCCTACTATCTAGCCATATGTTGTATTTTGACAAAGAACAACAAATTCGTTAACAATTTGTTTTCAATTTTTAGAAACTTATTAATTTAATTTAGGTGTTCAGTCGATATACATATCTTCACAGATTTCAATAATTGAAACAAAAAGATCATCATGGTTTTTATAATATTTTTTTCCTTCAAGTTCCCCAGTGGAACATACGACTTTAAGCTAGTGGCTTGAAGTTGCTGTAGCAGTGTTTATTTTTACAGGATGGGGTTGCTAGCCTCATGCTCAACCTTTCCTCTTGACCAGCATTATCTCTGGCTTAGCGAGGTAATATAAACTGGAATAAAGAATGTTCTATTTCACTTATTTCTTCTTGTCAATGAACATAGTCGATATGATATGAGGCGGCCTGCTTAAATCATTGGGCTACTGAAATTACTTTCCTCCAATATGCTTAATTTCATCTGGATTTATCATTGTTTCAATCGTCCAGTTATATCAGATGACCTATACATATACTTGCGCAATGGTTTAACTTGCTTCCAAGTAAACGCTGTACAATTCTTCAACGAAATGTGCGTCGGTGGCACAGTGGTTAGGACTCTCGCCGATCATGCACATGGTCCGGGGTTCGAGCCCACGCCGGCGCACACCTGATATCTATGGTTGGCCTGCAAAATTTGGGCTACCGATATCCATGCTGAAAATTCCATACTTGTACCAAAAATACAGTGTGGAATCAAGCTGCAAATCAAAAATCAAAAAAAATTATTACTTTACGTGTGAATCCTGTGTGAAGATTAAGGTACTTTGGAACTGAATACGCTGAAAAGTTTTGTACCGTATATTCACATACTGTCTTAAATAAAGCTTTACCATTATTATTATTATTATTGCAGACTATTTATTCAGTATCTATTAAAACAATATTTGGTGTTAACATTTAAATTTAGGGAAAGTTAATTATTTTATTCAACAAATCAGAGTATGATACACCAATGTATTATAAAACATTGGAATTGAACATGGTACAATGAACACTGAAACCCACTTCTCTTTCTCCGCCTATTTAACTGTTTCAACAACAAAAAACACAATACAAGGCAGATTCTGACACCACAGCTGTATGTGAAAAGAATATATCATATAACCTTTTACTTTATATAGATGGACATTGGCACCGTTTATAGTATTATTTATTATTCGTGGTCATATGATCGAAGTTTATAAATGGTTTTTTTTTATTAAAAAAAGCAGAAATAAGATGAAAAGATAAATTATTTCTTTTGATAATGCAAGTTCTATGTACAATTATAAGTGCTGATACTTTTTTAATACGAAAAAACTGAATTACCATTTAGAGAAAAATAGAAGCAAGTCGTTTCTGCGTTTCTTTTGCCTTTTTATTATTTTGAACGCCTCCAAATTGTTCACATTGTGATCAGATGGCTGTTTAAAGCTTGTGAGCCCTTTAGTATCAGGTTCTTGAGTGTGTATTCAGAAATGCGGGTAATAAGCCTTCCATCTGTTTTTTCAGCGTATTTGTTTTGGCATGTACATGTAAAGTGACAGACACGGAATTAACATGAAGTGGGAGTTTGTCCACTTTTGATTTTCTTGGACAACTGGTATTCATTTAGTAGTGGTAGTCGTAAATGTAAAGTAGCACAACCCAAACAGACAACCCACCACATGACACTGAGCAACTAATCAGATAGTAGTCTTTTCAAAACTCCATTCTATTCACTTTATTCTTGAGTCAACCTCTTAATCAATCCTGATTCTATCTAAGTTACAGTTGAATTTTGGGACTGACTTATGATTAGAGTTTAGGTAGGCTTTACACTCACCGTTATTAGTGTATCATTATAATACGCTTATCCTGACTTATTACTGAAGATCATTCGGTAGGCTGTTGACTTGGGCTGTGATACCATATAGTTATGATGACGTAAAAGTCAAAATTCTATTGTCGTAGATAACATTCATTTTTGAATACAGGCGTATTCATTTGAAAAAATATCGATATGGTGTATACTTAATCAAACTCCTCTAGGACTTTAATTTTAACTATTAAAACATCTAGAGAATAAGAAGAGGAATGATTGAGCTTGTCGTTTATTTGAAAAGTGACATCAACCTCAGTGGACTAACTGCTCAACCCAATCTCAACACAGGTGCAAAAGATTCGTTTGACATTTATCAACCTGAGTCTTTTTTGATGTAAACGTGATATCTAGCTACTGATCCATCTTTGTTGAACGAATGTGAGACTTGACTGTTCAAAGTTTCTTTTGTATTCCTTTACGTTCCCACTACTGTAACAACAGAAGACAAGGGCCAGGCAACAGATCGTTTTATTATGAAAATCAACGCGTATTTATACATATTTCAGACAACATTATTATAGACAAGCGCAGTCATCTGATTGGTTGTTTAGGTAGACAAACGCAGGCTTCTGATTGGTTGTTTCGGGATTCCTTGACAAACAGAGTTCTCTATCTGCGAATCATATTTTGCCACGTTAACTTCGCTGTGATTGGTTGTTGACTCAGCCTTGTTCACGGCCCATATTAGTGACCTAGACCTTAACGTAGATTAGTGCCAACCAATCGGCTAGCAGCCTGCTCTCACCACACTCGTCCCCCCGTCAAATACGTGCGACTGAAGTCGGCTTGATCTACTTGGTGCAGGCGTCATCGTTGGCTTGTCTCGCTGTATCCATTTCTGGAGCTCGCTGACGTTCACGCGCCTCTCATTGTTCGCCATTGCGACTGTGTCTGCGTAACCCCATCTCGAAGTGACCATATATGGTCCTTCCCACTTTGGAAACTGTTTGCCTGACCCTGTCGAACATTCGTCCATACTTCGGCCCACACCTTCATATGCTGCTTTCGCCCGACCTCCCAGCAGCGTCTCAAGTAGCAGCTCCATCGCTGACAGATCTTGAACGCCACTCAACTGCGCAGAAGCCTTGAAGTCCTGCCCGAAGATCCATATGTCTCCATCAAAAACTGCAGGGTATAGGCTTTTCATTTGTCGGTAGGCAGCGACACCAAATGTAACAACAGAAGACAAGGGCCAGGCAACAGATCGTTTTATTATGAAAATCAACGCGTATTTATACATATTTCAGACAACATTATTATAGACAAGCGCAGTCATCTGATTGGTTGTTTAGGTAGACAAACGCAGGCTTCTGATTGGTTGTTTCGGGATTCCTTGACAAACAGAGTTCTCTATCTGCGAATCATATTTTGCCACGTTAACTTCGCTGTGATTGGTTGTTGACTCAGCCTTGTTCACGGCCCATATTAGTGACCTAGACCTTAACGTAGATTAGTGCCAACCAATCGGCTAGCAGCCTGCTCTCACCACACTACAACATAGGGCTTCAAGCTAGAAGCTTGAATTTTCTGTAACAGTGGTGATTATTTTTACATGCTGTGGTTGTTAGCCTTATGCCCAACCTTCCCTCCTTGCAAATCTTACTACTGGCTTAGCCAGGTAAAAGAATGCGTTGGCCGGGTGATCGAATCCCGGACCAAGCGTAGTCAGCGGTCACTCTACCACAGTGCTACCGACGCATGAATTTGGTAATGTAATAGACTTAGTCGTCTGTAACCATAAGTGTTTACGTTCTGTTTGTCGGGTTAGGTGGTATAATAGCCTAAGTAATATTGGGATTGTGCATAAAGTGTTAGCTAAAGAGGGAAGTAAATCGACGAGGCTGCGAAGCTGTACCTATTCAGATGACTAGTAAGTGGAAAAATGTTGGCTGACATACGATTAGGTTGGAAAAAGTAAGGTTGGTCAAACAAAAACATGGCATACGTCCTTAAGGTCTTTGACCACTGGTTCAAGCCACCCACATACAGACGTGTAGACTTCATGTTTGCTTTATGTTCTTTAGAGGCTAAGAATAAACCGCTCTAGACCGTTGATGAAGTTGCTTAAAAACTTATTAGTGTCATAGATGGATTCAGTCGAGAACCGTTCGTCAGTGTAGATGCAGAATTCCCATACAAAAATGACACCGGCAAAGTTAAAGTGTATTGGGGTATATGGAATGCGGACTCACGACTAAACTTGAGGCGAGCAATCAGTAAATCTAGTGTTTGTTTCTACATAAATAGGACATTTATTTACAAGAGAAATACAGAGAAGACAGAAATGATAAACCCACTCAAACAGGTTATTTTCCTTGATGTAATTAATTCAAAAATATCTCCCAGTTATAATGGAGAGTATCAGTTTTTAAGTAAGATCAGTTTCTGTACATTTATTCATTGGAGTGAATGAAGATCATTTTTTATGTGTGACCCACTTTTCATTCTTATCCTGTTTCTTAGTCTTCCTTAAAAGCCTTCAATTAGATTAGTATGAGTTCCAGTAAAAGGGTTGACAAACATTTTCTACAGAAATACGGAAAACAAAAGTAAAACATCCTAACCCCAGTTGTAGCTGTAACGAGCAACCAACACACTGTCCAAACAGTATTTGAAAAAACAGACCAGGATGAAATCCACACAGCGTTCATAGTGGCGCTACAGAAAATGGTTGGTCTAACTATTCATTATTCAATACTATTCAGGCACGTCAGACCAGAGCAATCTATCGCGCGACTCCTTGAGTACCATGAATAATTAACTGAATGAGAGTTGACATAATGTCATTTGATGACTTATGTTAAGAAATCAGGTTCATACAACATGTCTGATCTTTTCTACAAAGAATATGAAAAACTTTGTAATTTCATTTCATAGCAAATTACGTACTAACATCCTTTAGAGGAGCTGTTAATTTACAGCATCTAGTACCGAACAACACCACAATAGTTAACTTCCATCCATCTGACCCTATAACTTAAACACTTAACTTTCAGCCGGTAATTCTAGGTTAAAACCTCGCTCCACCTACTTCATCCTGGTGTAACAACAGAAGACAAGGGCCAGGCAACAGATCCTTTTATTATGAAAATCAACACGTATTTATACATATTTCAACTACATTATTATAGACAAGCGCAGTCATCTGATTGGTTGTTTATCAGAAGTTAGGTAGACAAACGCAGGCTTCTGATTGGTTGTTGACTCAGCCTTGTTGATATTTTCTCACGGCCCATATTAGTGACCTAGACCTTAACGTAGATTAGTGCCAACCAATCGGCTAGCAGCCTGCTCTCACCACACTCGTCCCCCGTCAAATACGTGCGACTGAAGTCGGCTTGATCTACTTGGTGCAGGCGTCATCGTTGGCTTGTCTCGCTGTATCCATTTCTGGAGCTCGCTGACGTTCACGCGCCTCTCATTGTTCGCCATTGCGACTGTGTCTGCGTAACCCCATCTCGAAGTGACCATATATGGTCCTTCCCACTTTGGAAACTGTTTGCCTGACCCTGTCGAACATTCGTCCATACTTCGGCCCACACCTTCATATGCTGCTTTCGCCCGACCTCCCAGCAGCGTCTCAAGTAGCAGCTCCATCGCTGACAGATCTTGAACGCCACTCAACTGCGCAGAAGCCTTGAAGTCCTGCCCGAAGATCCATATGTCTCCATCAAAAACTGCAGGGTATAGGCTTTTCATTTGTCGGTAGGCAGCGACACCAAATGTAACAACAGAAGACAAGGGCCAGGCAACAGATCGTTTTATTATGAAAATCAACGCGTATTTATACATATTTCAACAACATTATTATAGACAAGCGCAGTCATCTGATTGGTTGTTTATCAGAAGTTAGGTAGACAAACGCAGGCTTCTGATTGGTTGTTGACTCAGCCTTGTTGATATTTTCTCACGGCCCATATTAGTGACCTAGACCTTAACGTAGATTAGTGCCAACCAATCGGCTAGCAGCCTGCTCTCACCACACTGGGAAACTGTCTAGTATTATCAACCCTCAAACTAAAAGTATATGTGTGTGGCTCATAGCCTATTATTATTGTCCAGCTGTGCTCCAAGTGGAACATAAGGCATCAACAGCACACCTCCACTTCGTCCTATTCTCTGCGGCCCCCTTTAGCTGGCCTCACGATTGCCTACGGTCTATCATCTCCTCACTCACTCTCGACACCAAATCCAACTGGCTGTTTTAATTTAATTTTTTTTTTAATTTTTGGTAACAGCTTGATTCCACACTGTATTTTTGGTACAAGTATGGAATTTTTAGCGTGGATATCGGTAGCCCAAATTTCGCAGGCCGACCATAGATATCTGGTGTGCGCCGGTGTGGGCTCGAACCCCGGACCATGTGCATGGTCGTCGAGAGTCCTAACACTGTGCCACCGACGCACACTTGGGTCCCATGTGGCCTAGTGAGCAATATAATTTGAAGGTCTCCTCAGTGTGTCTCCAATCCAACTTCATTTTATTCTACATATTTTTGTACAACAGGTTCTTGATTGGTTCGTTTCCGAAGTTTGTTGTTAATGATTCTTCCTTACCGTTCATCTGATGTGTGGTATCAAGCCAAGGTAGCTGCTGATAAAAGTGTGCACTATTCTGTTGAGAATGCTTTACTTGACGAGCCAGTTTTCTGACCCATGTAGAAGAAGTGACTTGACATTAGTTTTAAAAATCTGAATCTTGTTCTTTATGCTAAGTGAAGAAGATTTCCAAACTGACTTCATAGTGGTGAAGGTCTTTCTCGCCTTTCCGATCTAACCTGGCTTTGACATTCTCATCCGTTTTACCACCTGTAGTTGAAACGATGCTGTCTAGATAAGTAAAGGAACTGACGTTTCTCATCATCTTCATCTTCTATATGTTCACCTGAAATCCTGTATCCGGTACTTCGTATACCACTTGGTTGGTTTTTGCCTGTAGACCTTCCAGTGTATGTGGTATTAGACGTAGATAATCCATGAAATCCATATCTTCTAGAGTCTTATAATCAGTTCGACGTATTTCTGTCATCTTGATCGCGACGTGGTCTTCTTCACAATCCAGTCAATCACTGCTGGAAATATCATTGGTGGTAGTGGGCACCATTGTCTCACTCCTGTATTCCTTCCAAAGGTTTAGCTGAGACTGATCGTTTGGTACCTGCTAAATGAGCTCCAACCAACTCAGCATTTGTCTTAAATAATTATTGTTTGGTTATTTTTAAGTAGGCATATCGGTTGTTCAGCTGCAGAATGCTCACAAACCACGTATGTAGTGGGCGTTTTGATCCCTAGCCGAGGAACTCCTAAATCTCACTTAGCCCATAGTAATCCCGGTAAAGAAAGAAGCTTCAGCGTGAGGCTGGAAATCCCACCCTTACTGAACCTTTAAAGCTGAAGCTTGAAGCCTTATTTTCTATTCAGAACGCAAAGAAATCAAGAGAATGATTTAAATAAAAACATAATATTTTCAAGTAGAGTCTATTTTAGGATTTGTCCTACTCCTGTGAACTGACCACTCAGTTGTTTCTCACCATTTCACATTCAGGTTATAATAAATAGATGAAAGCGTTTTTTATCCTCATCTAACAGTCACTGCAAAAAGAAGTAACAATAAGGAAAATAATAATACATGCAGAAATAGACTTACTTTACCAGAAACTATTTTCTCATAAATCTGAATTGGTTGATCAGCAAAAAATGGTGGATAACCACAAGCCATTTCATAGACTAAAATACCTAATGCCCACCAGTCCACTGCTTTATTGTAACCCTATCAAGCAAATTGATTGAGTTTTGTCCAAAAACGTTATGTGACATGGAGGCAGATAGAAAAGTTAAAAGATTATTTTTTTAAAGTAAACAGAATAAATAGTAATGTCTTCAAGTGAAGAAAAACAACATTCTACATTGAGTATTATAAATTTCTCTTTTTTTCAAAAGAAAAAGATTAAACAGAACATAATCATTTTTTGGTCAAGTAATGTGTTGTTATTTGTCTCCTTTTGTTCTGCTTTTTTTTTCTCGCTGAAATCGCAATTAGTTTCCCACTTCACATGAACACAGTCAATGGCTTATATTGAACACTGAACTGTCAAGAGAAAAAATATTTTAACTTCAAAGAACTACTTGTTTTTTTATTCATTTAATTGTGGCTAATCTTGAAGAATGTTTAGTTTTCATTTGGCACACTTGTTTTAAATGTGAACTAGTAAGCTAGCAGATTAGGGTATTTTAGTTTAGAGTTCATCATAAACTGAGATATCAGTCAGAGAACTATTGGAAACCATGGAGCACCGGGATAACTGTTCGAAATCTTCAGCAGTGGGATTATGTGTGACAAAAAAATTGTCTGGAGAATCTCTCCTGACCTTACCACACTACTTAAACTTAATCGAACCTTTCAACTAACTGTGTAATTCTTATCCGTCTTTCTCTTAGCTGTATATCATTGTTTTGACATTTGCATATCACATGTTGATTTGATCCATATTATTTATCTTTGTTCCTGTTTAAATCTCTAATTTCAATGCTTCCCTTTGTGTTTGTATATACATTCATAATGTGTTGAACGATGCACTCTTGAGTGGATGAAGGTTATCTGTCACTTTGAACTATTGTCAGGAAGCATTGTGTGTGATTATTGTGGCCATGGCTTTCGATCTCACTTTGAGGGGAACATTCTACTTGATTCTCAGTGCTTGTTTTGTACTCGGATTGGATGGTTTAGCTGACTACCCGCACTGCTGAGGTAATTCAGGGTTTTTATGACAATATTAATTAATACAACCACAGAATTATTCTGGAATAAGCGATTTTTCCTGCCCATTGAGAATTTACTGAATACGTGTGTCTCAAGAAAGTTTAACCAGCTATAAGGTGGAACGCAGAAATAGGTGTTTTTGCGTTCAAACCACAACGAGTTGGTTGTGGTCAATACATAATGAGTAAGCAGTGATAAGGAATCCCAAACTAGAACAGTGCTTCTATGTTTCCAGTAATTCTGCATCTAATATTAATCCAGACGAAATCAATGTTGAAATTAATCAAAACACCCAGAAAAGAGAAAATGTGTGCAAAGCATTGCATTAAGGATGATCAGCTCAATTCAGATTCTATCAAAGGGAAATCATGAGTATGAATCAATTACTTTAAATCATGCTCTTTGAGCGTACTACGGCTTATGTGACCTAGGGTCCAAATAAGACAACGCTTTGCAATTTAAAACAAATGGTTTTGGATTCGAGTTTCAACGAGAACACCATCACTTCCCACCAGGGGTACTGACAAACGTAGTTGACAAGTCAGAAAGAGGATGAAACGCACTCGCTTGACCCCACTACTATTCACCATAAACCATGTGGAAACGTTTGCTAACTAGAAAAATCAAAAGCAAAAACCATGGTTTGTTCCTAATTTATTTAGTTACTACTTTAATGCTTGAAGTTAAGAGACTTGGTAACAGAATGCTTACTAGCAGTTTGACGTACGTATTTAGGGAAATTATGTGTACCTTATATTAAAATCGTCATTTGCACAGATCTTCGGTTTTATGCTACTTCTGCCCTTCATATTGTGTTGTTTTGTCTTCTTTTCTTGTCTCCACTATTTTCGCCTCAATACTGGTTCTTTTTCTCTCTTCGACGTCAAATATATCTCTTCGATATTTGATATGTTTGTACCTATGAACATCAAATTATATACTGCTGATACATTTTGTCAATAGCACATACCATACCATGATCACTGACCAGATATTTTAGTCGAACACCTTTCTCAGAATAATTTATCTTATTATTTCAGCCGTTTTTTAAAGTGTTTCATTATCGAAAATTTTGCAAAATAGCAGTCCACTTTAGCTTCTTAGTTTGTCGATAGACAACATTAGGATTACTTAAAATGTGTAAATGACATGCTGTAATTTAAGATTTTTTCATAAATAACTAAGTATCTCACAAGATATTTGAGGTATTTAGGAAGTCTCTGTGTGAAACATTAGGTGTACAAGGCACATTTTCCAATGTTAATTATACATACAGTTTATATTGTTTCTTTGTACATCTTAAAAGTTATACTCACTTTGCTTAAAATTATTTCAGGTGCAAGATATTCTGGTGTTCCACACAATGTCCATGTACGACCTTTTATTTTTTTAGCAAAGCCAAAATCAGTAACCTAAAATATAGAGAAAAAAAGTGGTTTTCTATCAGCATGAGTTGATCGAAAATACATCCACAACATCTAAAGATGATTACTTTTGTGTAGCATTTTTAAGAACACACTACTTTACTACTTGTGTGAGAGATTTGTTTGATTTCAAAGCTTCTATTGTCCTCTTACTGGAAAACATCTTCAGCGTTTACTTCAGTGTATGAAGTAAGCTTTTGGAATTCTCTATGAACAAAATATTTGTCTATTCAAGGTAACTTTCGGTGTGGTTGGTTGCTCCCATGGATTTCCTTATTATTGCATTCTCTTATGTTAGTATCAAGTATTTTGTAGATCTTGTATTTGAACTTTACTTGTAGTAGGTAACATCCACGGACACTTTTAAATCTCACTCCACACACTGAAGTTAGAACCGAAGGCATTGTCTGGAATGATTATTAAAGCCGTGCAGCTCAACTGTGTAGTTCAGAGAATACAGAGACACGCATCTCAGTTGGAAATCTTCTTTACTATTTTAAAGTTTGTTTGTTGAAAAGGAAATTCACGCTTCATATTCAAAATACCTAAGCATTATGACTTAATCAGATCATATTCATGTGGTAGTGCGAATCTGTGTGGAAAAGATGACTTCTGAAATAATTTAGTTTTTATCGATATTGAACAACTACCTTCGTACCACGCTAAGTATCAGATGGCCAGAAAGGATAAATAAATAGGAACTCTGGGAACGAATCAGCTGATAATCTACTGTCAAAAACATACCGAGGAGAGCGGAGATGGATAGGACACACGCTAAGAAGATCGCTGAGTGGTTTCATGCCACAGGATTTCTCTCAAGTGGAACCTGAATGGAAAATGACGAACTAGGTGTTGATCGAAGAGTGGCATGTAGGAGGAGATCATGTGAGCTGGAGAAGAGACCTAATGGGTAATAGTGGGGCTAGCTAAAAATGCCATCCGAGAAAAAGATGAAATGAGTATGCGCCGAACTTTCCAGTCGGAACAGTAGGGAGTAATAATGATAAAATAATAATAAATAATTTGTGCGGAGTGGTTATCTCAGTAAATGTCATCATTGCTAGTTTAACATACTATAAGTGGCAGAACCTTTCGCACAAACTTCTCATTACACTTTTTGCATTATCAGTATGCAGATAAGCTGGCGACACTCTGCAATGAAAATTACTAGATCGCTATGTAACGATTAAATTAAATATGCGTTTACATACCTAAAAACAGATAGAGACGTCGTAGGCGGCTAAAATAACGTTTCATAAATATCTATACATAGTTAAGTTAGTTGGCTTCCTCATATATTTTTTCACATTGATGGAAATTTCCAATAAGGATTCGAAATGTTACCCAAATAAATAAAAACTGAATCCAAGAAAACAGCTTCATGTAAGCATCTAAATTCTAGGTTAGATGTGTTCATCTAGGCGACATGGATGGACAAACGGACGGAACAAAATCACAATTAACGGATGACCATATTGTTGGTATACGAAACAAGTTAAATTTTCTGATAAACTGTTATCATTTCTAGTGGAATACAATAAACCCGAAACAAGCTGTTGTAGGCTTTTAATCAGTTGATCTCCATTGTGTACCTTGGTCATATATATGTCTTGTAGAAATCGCAAAAGAAACTTTTTTCCACTATTATTTGTCGTTACGAAGATGAAATTATGAGACTGTGGTTTGCATGTGTTGAAACTAAATCCACTTATATTGTGACTTACAGTTACGAGAAGTGCCTACTCAGCAATAATAATAATATCCGTATTCTGAGAAGTTCGTCTTGGACGTATTACAGAACTGCAAGGGTTTTACACCTTGTGCTATTTTCATGTGATATTATAATCAATAATGCATCACTTGAAGGAATACTGTCCATCAAAAGCATGCTCTTTTACTGTATAAAGTTTTCTTCTCATTTCATTAAATAGGCATTATTAGATTAAAACCTTTTTGAAGATGTGCGCAAGAGTACGTTAGGATCATGGACGCAGTTGGATGGTAAAAACAATATGAAATGCAGCAAATTCAATGCATTTTTGTGGATGAAAGAATTCGGTGGTCCGGCGATTCAGGCAGACCACTAAATTCACTGTGTTAGCTGTTGCAGGATTGAATTCAAACGAGGAGTTAGGCGTAGTCAAACTAAACATAACACCTACACATGGTGTTTTTGACTATTAGTTTGAACCACCTAAGGAGCTGTCTGCTGCATGTCTGGCTGAGGTTATCACGATTTTAAGAACCAGTGGTTGGATACGTGTAGATATGACTTCAAAGATTTCTCAATAGTGAAGACGAATTCTCTCTTCGTGGTGTTACAAATCCATGAAATCCCAAATTATCCTGAATGTGGTTATATTCCTTCCCTCAAATATTCTGCTTGTTATAGTTTATTTTCATCATTTTTCTAACTTAATATATGCTTTCTGAAGTGTGGTGACTTGAACTGTTGTACTTTTATTGAAAGTTCTATGTGGAAAATTCAGTCAGACTGGGTAAATTTAGGAACACCAAATGTGATCTATTTGATTTCACAAATAACATAAGTGGATTGTTTGAACTGGTTTGACTCTCTGATTTAAGTCCATAACCAGTGCACCATTGACGAGCTAGACCTCTGACGCACTATACGACCGTCCCGTGTTTAGATTATTTCTATCTGGCTACGAAGCGTCACTAGCTGATGCGAGTGTAATCCGACTACTTTCGTCAATTAGTCATGTTCCATCATGGATAAATCCAACTAGACATAAAGTTTTCGGTTGAGGATTAAAATGGTTATAATAAGTTTAAAAATATTATCTTAGACATTAACGTTTCCCGTCGATGTATTTGTGAATACCTGATATTTCCAAATATGCTCCAACTACACTTTTGTTATCCTTTTTCCATTGGTATTTTTGCTTTTTTTTTCAGTAGTTTCATTCATTCATTTATCAACTCAGTTACCAACAAAAAACGGAAAAAACATTACAATATTTAGAAAATATACACAAGCTGATCACTGGCTAGCAATCAACAAAAGCAAACGTGGTCGTCTACTTCGTGCTTTCAGTCAATCCCATGTACCACCGATTTTTCAGTAAGCTATCAATGGTACACTAATGCTGTTTATCGTTAAAGGACCACAAAACCTTCGCTATTGCATAATGATAACGAATTGCTAGAAATATCGTAATTACTTATCATAGTTTGATCGACACTACTGTAGAGAATTGCATAAAGGTTAAATAAGTATTATTACTAGAGTAGTGAGACAAGATAAATTATTGTTGACAATTTATCGATGAATATAGAGCATATGACATGAAGCTCAATCTGTCTTAGAAAGGAGTATTCTGTATGGGGGAAAATCGTCTTTCACAAAACAAAAACTAAGATCAAATGGCGGGAAAAAGCTTAGTACTTCAGCATATATCTTCCGTAGTAGTCACAAGTATTTATGGGACTAAGTGAATTTGTTCTTACATTATGAGAGCTATTTTATTAATGACCCATTCAAGCAGTATCTTTATTTGTAGCACAAGTGTTTCTGAAACAGTTTGCATAAAAAGGTTCACCAAAAAAATTATTTTTAATTCTTATTCCGAATATCATGTTCACTTTTCGACTAAAAAGGGTAAACTTAAACTCACCACTGACTGAAAGAGAGAAGAACTGTGGGTAAACTGGCCAATAATCGTTAGTGAAATTGAAATATGAGGAATTGCTTGTTTAGCTAATATGGTGATGAGCAGATAGTCACATTCTGGCGACCTGTGCTAAATTAAAGTCTGATTAGTGTTTGGATTTGTTAACTCAGTTATACGGTGTGAAATTAATACGCCATACGGTATAGATGCAGATACTTTTGCAACCTACGGTATTTGTCTTAACTTCGGTGCATAAAAATTCTCCCGCTACACTAAGCCCAATAGTCTGAGTGAAAACCAACTATATCATATAAATTCTTGTTAAACAAAGATTTTTAAAATTTATTTTTTCTGTGAAGCAACATCTCAATTTATTCATAGGTTTGAAGCAGATACAGTAACAGAGAGAAATTACCACACTGTTCATTCGCTGCGTTCTGAATGGAAGATGGCTCTACAGTAGTACATTTCCATTGTACTCAGTCTCCTCCTAGTATATGTCCAACCTATTTCCATTTTCTTCAGTAAATTTGCTGGCTAATAGATCTTTGATGGTTGAATACCTGCCACAGATGCTTGTCTTGTCTGGACGGCTCTCTGATTTTCAGTATCCGATGAAAACAGTCGTTGATGGAACTCTGCAGCTTGTTACCAGTCATTTTAGTGGCGTGAGTACCAAGTCGCTCAACCATATATTAGCAGTAATAATTCGACTTTTTGCTCGCTAATTTTGAATCCCACTCTCTATACTAAGTTCTGTGGATTTCAATACTAATTTCAGAGGTAGTGAATATTTGCCACGTCTTCTAAATCCTGATTTTGCCATCCTTATCTGTATTGTCTGCAGCTGGCATGGTGTTGGTAAGATGAGTGAAAGAGACTACTTTCTTTAAATTTCTTCTGTTGACGATGACTGGCGCTTATTTTTGTTGGTTAGGAATTTTCATCAACTTTATCTTTGCTATGCCCACCTGAAATTCTACTTTGTTTGTGAATCTTTGAGTTTATTTGACATGACGCAAAAATTATCTGCCAAGTTTAAGTCGAAGTGAGTCTTAGCAATGAGAAAAGAAACTTCTAAATTCTCATATTGCACAACTTGCTTTATGGCTTTTAAAGTATGCTAAAGTTCGCTTTAGTGAGCATAGGCTAAGAAATTGCATGTGATTAACAGATATCTACAAAACGATTATCTTACTAACCTTAAGGTAGCCATCGCTGGCAATCAATAAGTTCTCAGGTTTTAAATCTCTGTAGATTAAGTCAAATGAATGTAGATATTCAAATGCCAATACAACTTGACTCGCATAAAATCGTGAATCGTCTTCACTAAAGAAACAAACAAACGATGAAAAAATGAAAATGAACATCAGTATTAAAATATTTTCTTATATTTTATCAGCTAACATGAACAGTTTATAGTGAAACATTATTTTATAAATATATAACTCGCTGAAATTATTTGGTAATTGATGTGTAGCAGTGAAATCCAGGACGTAGATTTTCTTTCGCCAGGAACTCATTAATTGGATATCTGTAAATTCCCAGTAAGTGATAGTGATTCTTCTATTACTCGAATCCACCACTAAAAATTGGGAAATTCAAACAGTTATCTACTGCGCTAGAAGGGCTAGTTTAATCAGTGGGAAACTCAAAACAGTTAAATTATAAGGATAAAATCTAGCCGTTGCGAAATAGGTAGTTGTCATAACCCACTGAATAGCACTTTGAAGATTCAAATGATGAGTGGTATTTTCGAGTCATAGTGAGGACACTGTCACTCACTGAAGATTCATGCGCATCTAGATGACGAGTGCATACGCGAGGAAACGAATATCCTAGATTCAGCCACCAGACACCAGCTACCAAGAAATATATTTGATCACTAGCTGACACCAGCTACCGAGCTGTTTGAAGATCCAGTGGGGTATTGGCTAGAGAGGTGTTTACTCCTAATTTGAACCAAGGACCTCCCGCTCACAAGACAAGCTTATAGATCGCTCAGCTACTGAAACCCGATCCAATTGTTCGAGAAATTCAGCTTCCGTCCATTCACGATTTTTTCGGTGCGATTACCAGCCCTTGTCGTGAGCAGATAGCCGTTCTTTTGTCACATTTTGTTGAACCCAGATAATAACATTTCTAGCCACAACTCCAGCTAAGCTGCTGTAAACAGCCAGTAACTAGTGAGCATCAGATTACTTTCAAATGTTGGTTTGCAGCTATCTGATTGGTTACAAGTGTGACTACCAACTGACATGTATAATGAAACCATTAGAAAACTAGAGAGTCCCTGACAGATGAGACTGAATTCCATTGGTCATTGCATCGGATCTCATCAGCTGAATGGTCTACGAACTTACGTTGTGGCCAGAAGGTCCTGGGTTCAAATCCCAAAGGGGAGCGTGTTGCTGAAGAGTTCCAAATTAGTGGAAGCAGCTTTCCAGTCATTACTATCTGATCTCCTAATGGTTCTCTAAGACGGATGTCAGCTAGAGATCAAGCTTGTAACCAATCAAAACCCAGCAAAGTACCTCTTGAAAATACAAAGTAACATATTGTACTGACACTAATATTTATTTCAATTTCTTTTTATTATCTTCGTTTCTATAACTACTACTTGACTGTAAAACGCACTTCGATGAATGAAAGTAATCGGGTGATTCATAACCTATTTAAGCAATGCAATGAAAGAAAATGCTTTTTTAACTAGTTGATAACAAATATTATCATAGTTGCAGCCCAAAATCTGTCCACTAACCTGAATTTTCCAACTCTTCTTAGATATGAAAACATTTCCCCACCACTAACGAATTCAAGTACCATGTATAAATTGGAATTATCCTTCGAATTAACAAAATTTTAGAAGAAAAAACACTTCATTCAGACAGAGAATTCAATGGTAAATCTCATAAAACAAAATCAGCTAATAATTCAAAGAGAATAAATATTTCGCTAAGTTTACGTGTTGTTCAGTCATTTCGATATACACTATTTACAGCCTACTGACCACCAGATGTTGCGTGAATTACCATCCAACCACAGTGGTCAAAGTTCACTCGATAGCATAACGGGAATTCACGACAAAATGCAAAAATTATCCGTTGGCATAAATCGAATACTATCTTCATGTAGTATTTGACTTGGTGAAGCCATTGTTTGGTGAAAACATACTGTTATCACATAAGTCTCGAGTTCTAATCTTACTCCATCTGCTTCAGATTGGGAAACTGGATAGGATCATCAGCCCTCACACCAAATATGTGTAACCTATACACGTGTATATGAAAATGTCTAATGAGGGTTTACTGATTTCTAACATTATTGAGATAGCAAGATAGTATAAACAAATCGACATTTAACCTAATGCTGTACCAACTGATTTCTGAGTTGTGTTTGTGAGAGTAGTCCAATTTCTACTTCATTTATTAGAAACAGAATATTACTTGAGATTACATGAATTAAAGAGAGGAAACAATTATGACTTGAATAAGTAATAATATACAAATCTGCCAGTACGTAGTAAATAACAGGACACTGTTTAACTCTGGTGCTGTGAAGTTCTAAATTCATCAGTTGACCTTAAAAAGTCCACTACAGTACGATGCAGAAAAGATTCCTTTTTCTGAAAATGCCAAGTATGGAGACCGTACCAAAGTATTCACCAGCCAACTGATCTTATTTGTTGGAATCCGTGTATAAATTTATATATATATATATATATATATATGTACAATTTATACACGGATTCCAACAAATAATAATATATATAGTCCTCATAATATTTATTACATGCCAGACGTGGTTCGGATTTGATTCCGAGCCCACGCACTCCTAAACTTCTCTCAGCTGGTAGTAAGCCAGGTGAAGGCTGGGTTTGAGGCGAGCAACCGCATGCCACAAAAACAACACCAGCACATAAGCTGCAGAAAAGCTTGAAGACCTATGTTCCATTAATATCAGTAAACAGTTTGAGCACTGTGGATTAGATTAAATAAAGTATAATAATATTTCAATAGTTTACACACAAAGATAAGTTTTGTTATTGGTAATATTTCGGGCAAAACTACTTCTGGTGTTCACACCACTGTTGGATTGTTCTATTCATACGTTTATGATTTATACTCATTTATTTAGTTCATTATTTTTTTCGCTCATTCATGTTTTTGTATTCTAAATTATATTCCAAGTTGTTGATAGTTGTACTGAGTCATCCTTGTTACATGTATTCGGTGTGACCTTAATGAATATCGATCCTGTTATAAGTCTCTCTTTCCATTTTTCCATGTTAGTTTTTAGAATACTCACATTGTTCCAATCGATATTGTGGTTTTTGTCCCATGCATGTACAGCTATCGATGAATTTTTCTCAAGATTCTTGTAAGCTTGTGTTCCTGTTGGTTGACCTTCGGCTAGGCATTTATGTTCATTCACTCCTATTTTGACTGATCTGGACGTTTGCCCCACATATTTAGTCAGACAGTTAGCACAAGATATTTTGTAAATCAGATTGTTTTTATCCATCATTTTTATGGGATCTTTCAGTGGATTTATTTTATTTTTGATTAGATTCATCGGTTTAAAAGTTGTTCGAATGCCGATATTTTTGAGGTTTCTTTGAATTGCCTCTGATGTACCATTTTTAAATGGTATTGTGACTGTCATTTTCCATTCTTCCATCTTGTTAATCTCCGGTTTTACCCTCTTTTTTATATTATCTTTTATAAATTCTTTAGGGTAGTAGTTTTTGAGTAGCATTTTGAATATTATTATTATTGTGTCCTTTAGTTCCTAGAGGAACATAGGGTTTCAGCTGCGCACCTCCATTGCCTTCTGTTTTCTGACAACTTTTTCACCCCGCTCCAGGTTTGTCCACATGCTTTCATCTCCTCCTCGCATGACCTCCCCCAAGTCACCATCGCACTGACGACCAACTCGCCGCCTCCCTTTCGGGTTCCATTCGAGCTATGGCTTGTCTAGTGATGTCACTTGATGGTTTCCTCAGCGTATGATCAATCCATCTCCATTTCTTCCTGCCTATTTGTTTCACAATCCGTTCCTGCTGTGTTGGTTTGCTCATTGCCAGATATCCCTGTTGGTGATCTTTTCTGGCCGGCCATCTGATCTTGAGTATTCAGCGAAGACAGTAAGCTGTTAATGAAGGTCTGAAGTTTGTTTGAGATGCTCTTTATGACTCGCCAATTCTCTGATCCGTATAGTAGCACTGACTGACTTCCCATTGTGGCTTCATATTTACAGTCAGAATTAAAGACATGGAAAGGGTATTTTGAATATTGCATTTTCATGAATGAAAAAAATACTCACCTTATTATTTAGTTGACAAGTTGACATATGTCATCAGGGTGATATTTTATGAACACTTTAAATCTATTCTAATCTGTTAATTTTCTAATGCTTTACAAAGACTCCAACATTGGTATGCTTGACCGCCAATATTTCACATCATTTCATTAACGGATAAGCTGTTGTAGACATACGAGTAATTATCACAGACAGAAAGTGTGGTACAAAATGAAGGCGCATCTTTTAAACAAATGTTTTAGCTCTTGTTATTACTGGAAAGTGTGTTCACCTTATAAGATCACCTCTCATCGAGACGCTGCACTCTAACTTGAATTTAGACAAGAACTAAATTGATGAAGGGCAATTGATATAAAAATAACTCACAAAATAATCGAGCAAAGAATACTCTTTTCGATTAATTCCTCTTCCGGCTCTACAATTATATACATGTTTATATACACAGAATATTCTAGATTAGTAGTTAATATCAATGTTAGTGGTTTTTAAAATAATATCGATTTGTAAGGTAAAATAAATGCAATTACAGTTCATTAAAGATGCTTAAATTATAATAATAATAAAGATGTAGTAGCGAATAGAATATCAACTACAATTAGGGAAATTCCACAAAATTTCAGCATTATTCAAACCTGGATGGTCAAGGTAATGATAGTGTCTGCACTAACTTATTTTGGATGCCTAATAAATTAGGCTTGTTAATATGGATCCCCCCAGCCTCAGCTATATTTAGTAGTCGAACTCTTAAGGCAAAATTGAGATTCGTTGGTATGCGGTAAATGATCCTGAAAGCATGGTTAACGTCAATCTTGTGTTCTGTCTAATCTTTAGGGATTCATATTAACAAGCCTTATTTATTATGCACCCAAAATAAGTTAGTGCAGACACTATCATTACCTTGACCATCCAGGTTTGAATAATGCTGAAATTTTGTGGAATTTCCCTAATTGTAGTTGATATTCTATTCGCTATACATCTTTATTATTATTATAATTTAAGCATCTTTAATGAACTGTAATTGCATTTATTTTACCTTACAAATCGATATTATTTTAAAAACCACTAACATTGATATTAACTACTAATCTAGAATATTCTGTGTATATAAACATGTATATAATTGTAGAGCCGGAAGAGGAGTTAATCGAAAAGAATATTCTTTGCTCGATTATTTTGTGTTTTATAGATGTCTGATTGAATATTTTTGCAATAAAAATAACTCCTGATAGTTGCAGTTGCCAAATAATTGTCTGAGAAGTACATGCATCTTGAGTAGATTTTATTCAGGAATCAGAAATAGCCAGTTCAGGCTTCTAATTCTACCCCTTCCCCATTCACTAATATATTCTTGTAGTTAAATTATTTTCCTCCTTTATTCCTGTGAGACACTGCCATTGAAGGTAAGAGATATGAAAGGTTGGCCATCTTTGACCACAGATGATAGTGTTCTATTTCATGTTAGTAGCATTGAAGTTATTATTTATTATTATTTCCTTTAATTCCTAGAGGAACATAGGGCTTCAGCCACGCGTCTCCATTGCCTTCGGTTTTCTGCCAAATTTTTCACACCACTCCAAGTCTGCCCACATGCTTTCATCTTCTCTTCACATGACCTCCTCCAAGTCACCATTGCATTGACGACCAACTCGCCGCTTCCCTTTCGAGTTCCATTCGAGTGATAGCCTGGCGTATGATGTCACTTGATGGATTCCTCAGAGTATGACCAATCCATCTCCATTTCTTCCTGCCTATTTGTTTCACAATCGTGGTTGGTTTGCTCATTGCCAGATATCCCTGTTGGTGATCTTTTCTGGCCGGCCATCTGATCTTGAGTATTGAGCGAAGACAACTGTTAATGAAGGTCTGAAGTTTGTTTGAGATGCTCTTTATGACTCGCCAAGTCTCTGATCCGTATAGTAGCACTGACTGACTTCCCATTGGAGTTGAAAATCCGGATCTTATTTTTGATGCTGAGTGGCTGTTGACCTCCACACAGATTTGAGAGTAATGAAAGCTTGTTTTGCTTTTCCGATTCTGGTTTTGATATCCCCGTCAGTTCCGCCTGTAGTTGAGACGATGCTTCCCAGGTAGGTGAAGGAGGCTGTTTCTTTCAGGTTCCTCCCATTTATGCTGGCTGATTGTTGTCTGTTGTTGTTGCTGTTAGTGGTGTTGGCCAGGAATCTTCATCACCTCTGTTTTATCTATGTTCACCTGAAGCCAATTCCTATCTGCGATGCTTCTTCTACCGCCAGCTTGTTGCTTTTCATTTGCATATCTTCCAGTTTGTGGGAAATCAGACATATATCATCGGCGAAATCCAGATCCTCCAAGTCTTTTGTGTCAGTCCATTTTATGCCTGTTCCCTCGTTGGTTGCCGTTGTCTGTCGCATTATCCAATCGATTGCAATCAGGAAGATCATTGGTGATAGTAGACAGCCTAGTCGCACTCCCGTCCTCACTTCGAAGGCTTCCGTAAGTTTCCCGTTGTGGATTACTTTGCATGAAGCATTGTCGTATAACTGTTGGATGAGATGTATAATTGTCGATGGGACCCCGTAGTAGCGAAGTAGTTGCCAAATCACCTCTCGATCGACGCTGTCGAAAGCCTTCTCAAAGTCGATGAAGTTGAGATAGAGAGGTGACTGCCATTCCAAGCTTTGTTCAATGATGATCCGTAGAGTGGCGATTTGATCAATACATGATTTGTTTCTCCTGAATCCGGCCTGTTCCGGTCAAAGTTTTTCATCTAGGGCTTGTTTGATTATCTGCAGGATGATGTGGCTTAGTATTTTGCTTGGAATGGACAGAAGCATAATTCCACGCCAGTTTTTGCATTGACTTAAGTCTCGTTTCTTTGGTAGTTTGAATAAGTATCCGTTCTTCCAATCCTCGGGTACTTTGCCCTCTTTCCACACCTTCTCCAGCAGTGGCGTCATCAAGTCCGCTGTTGTCTCTGGGTCAATTTTCAGTGCTTCTGCTGGGATTCCATCTGGTCGTGCTGCTTTCCCAGCTTTTAGCATCTTGATGGCATTCAGGATTTCTGATTTCGTCGAGGGGGCCAATGTTCACTGGTAGTTCTGCTTCCGTTGTCTGTATTGTTAGGCGCGTTGTAGGTGGCGGACGATTTAGAAGTCTTTTGAAGTGTTCAGCCCAGTGCTTTCTCTGTTCCACCTCTTTGGTGATTGACTTTCCATTGTCGTCCTTTATTGGCTTAATCTGTGTCGAACTTTTGCCCGAAAGGTGCCTAGTTGTTTGGTAGAGTGTGGCGAGGTCTCCTTTGCCTACAGCTTGTTCTGCTTTACTTGCCATGGTTTCATAATATTTTCTTTTGTCTTTCCTGGCACTCTTCTTCACTCTTTTGTTCAGCGTATTGTAGCTTGCATTCAGCTCCTGTTTTTGTTGCTCGTCGGTGCACTGGATAATCTTTTGTTTCACTGTCCTTTTGAATAGGACTTTTATTACTTTATCAGTGTAAAGAAATAAAAGTCCTGGTAAACTACCCGCCTGATGGCCCTAAGTAACCAATCATATTCTTCTTGGCTAGATAAGTATAATACATGCCGTTGGAAATATAGCTTACTCTCTGCTATCTTCTGTGGATTATGTGTATCATACGACAAACGATTCATTCCATTTCGTAGATACCTTTGATGGGACTCACGTGAACTGATTTTTTATTTTCACTTGCAATAACAATTCTTTTAAACAATTACTGTCTTTTCTTTCTGCGACAATTATGGTTGGTAGTTCGAAGTCACCAGGTAATAAATGATCTTGTACGCCTGAGAGTGAGCGACATGTTCAGGTCACGGGTAACTGTGAGGATTCAGCTCCTAAAGCTGCTTTGTTGCCTTTGTGGGTCGGATTAGAAATCCAAAGATGGAGAAGTGATTTTGGTCTAGAGTGCCTGCGAAGTGTTCCAGCTCTCACAAAAAGTATGATGCATCTTTTGGTGTCCATAAAGTATGAAGTTTTTGCTCAAATAATTCAGTAAATAAAATAAATAATACTCGCTACTGTGACATATATTACTTACAGCTACTCAAATAAGAGCTGTTGAAGTAAAGAGGGATTTGATACTCACTTTAAAGCTGAAATCCATTCGAACAAGAAATGGAAAATTGATTGCCTGTAAAATCTTCTTCTCATTCAATGTATGTTCAATCTGTTTTAATTTGACCACCTTAAACCAATGTAATAAAAAATAACAGACAAAATAAATCTGTCAATAGAAAAAGTCCCCATATAGACATTTAGCCTGTGTACAGAAAAAATTTCTACAGCCACTTTCCCTACCGTGGCCATTGTCACAAGAATGCATAAACAGGACTACGTTGCCCCCCTCCCCCTAAACCTATAAAAATTATAATTGTCTAAATTATTTATTTTTATTTATTTTGACCACTTCATCTTTAATTTACGTGTTATCCTTGTGCAATCAATTTATTCCATCCATTTCTACTTTTTAAATCAGTATCGATT